AAATGTGTATGATTACCCAATCTAAGAAAAGCACAAGCATGCCAATTTCTTTTTGAATTTACAAACACAAGTAACATTGTTATGAGACAAATGGAACTTTTTATTATTTGTCTTATAATAAACAGTGGAAACAGAAAACTACATTAGAAGGAAGCCTTGGCCAAAGACATTATAAGCTTGTCTAGAAGTCAAGAGGGACTACAGCTTATTTTAGCAGTAGAAGTAAACAAATAGGAAATTTGAATAATCTGTAATGTAAACTATTCCTTGATGCTATCTGTGAGTCTGCTGTTTATCAATTGAAGCTGTAGTTCATTATATTTAAAATGCTTCCTCTAACTTCATTCACTTCATTTTTTTCTATACAGTTCCTATCAGCAAAGGAGTCATCCTATCAAAATGACTGTTTCCATGTGAAAATTGTAAAAAAAAAAATATTTTAAAATTTTCTTCCACCACTTTCTCCCTCTATTCTTTTGTTATGTTTTCATTACTGTTGTTAGCTTCTTTCTTTCTTTCTTTTTTATTTTCTGATTTTATTCTAGCTCTGGTCTTAATCTCTGGTCTTAGCTTGCTAAGAAAAATATAGGTATAGAAGCTGTAGGGATGTCCTAATTTATTTGAACACAACATAATGATGGTAAAGAGTGAATTATGATAAATATTACCACCATTTCACATGCGGAGAAATTGCTGGATAAATAATCTGATGAATCAAAAAGATCATTAGTTTATAACTGGCAGATCTACAAAAATTCACAGTTCTTCAGCATAATTAGAGTGATCAAGATTTACACTGCAAATTGGGACAATTTTGAGAACATTAACAATAGCTCTGGCGTATCTGGTGTAAGGAGTATATTGGGCATATGAAGACGTACAGTTGCCCTATATATGGTTGAAGGTATGAGTATTTTACTGATGGAACAGACAAGTGATTTACACTTGCTTGATAGACGAAAACTAGTGAATAATTGCCTTGTTAATCTGCTTTTGTAGTATTTTTAAAAGTTTTATTTACTTCAAAGGCAGAGCAACAAAAGAGTGCCTGAGGACCCAGAGATTTCCATCTACAGGTACACTCCCCCAAAGCCCACAACAGCCCTGCCTGGGCCAAGTTGAAGTCAAGAACCCGAAGTCCATCCAGGTTTCCCACATGCGTAGTAGGGATCCAAGTACTTGAGCAGTTACCTTTTGCCTATCTGGGGTGCTCATTAGCTGGAAGCTAGATTGGAAGCTGAGGCTCCATTTGAGCTCAGGCACTCTGATATGGGATGTGTGTGTCTCTAGCAGTGCCTTTACCACTGAACCACAATATCTGACCCTGTAATAGTCCAATTTTTGGATCTTTATTCCCTTTTCCCTCCCTCCCTCTCTCCCTTCCTTCCTTCCTTCCTCTCTCCCTACTCTCTTCCTCCCTCCCTTCCTCCATCCCTCCCTCCCTCTCTCCCCTCCTCCCTCCCTCCCTCCCTTCCTTCCTCCTTCCCTCCCTCTCTCCCTTCTTGCTTTTCCCAACCCTCTTTCTCCTCCTACCCTTTCTATTTCCCTTCCCTCCCTCCCTCTCCCCCTTCTTCTTCCCTCTCTCTCCACCTCTTCTCTCTTTCCCCTTCCTTCCTTCCTTCCTTCCTTCTTCTTTCCCTTTGCTGTATCTCAATATCATTATCTTTGTTTTTACTACAGCAATTTTTCACATCAATACAGTTTAAAAGATGAAACTGTCATATTTTGACTCATGATTCCAAGAAAATATCTTCAACATATATTTTAAGGAAAGAATTTACAGTGCAAAAATATAGACAACAGGTATATTATCTATGCGTTTTATCACTTCAGCCTTGTATTCCTTTGCTTATTATTTCCCCCTTATGCTTAACAGCAGATATTCAAAATGTATATTACTATCTCATTTAAAACAGATGTTAAGGCTAATTGTATGTGTTTCAATTTTGATATTTTCCTTGTTAGAGTCTATTAGTGATAGCAATTATAATCATATGTAGATTTTAGAGAGAGATCTTACAGACCATCTATCAATTCTCATATTTTTCAGAAGAAATTGAGAAGCAGAGTAATTCATAATTCTAGGCCACATAGTTAGTTGGGGGAAGAGTCAGAACCAGACTATCAGTGCAGAAGTTCTTTGTTACCTGCATTCTACAATAATTTTAGACATAATGAATTTCAAAGATGGTAGAGGTTCCCCTATATCATTTAGTCAGCTCCCCCTAATGTTTGCATTTCTATGGTACAATTATCACAAAAGTTCTTTTTATTGCACCATGAAAACTGTAGTTCAGATTTATTGTCTTTGAAGTACAGAAAGTTGAATTTTACAACTTTTGGAAGAGTTCTGGATTAAGTTAATGACAAGCTGCAAACCAAGGAAACATATTCAGTTTCAAAAATCTTGGATTTCTTTCTAATACTCTTTATCTATAGATGGAAAGTTGAGATTTGGAGAATCTGAAATAATACTGAAAACATATTTATGTGCCTATATAAATTAATGTGAGGTTTCATAGACTGTTTCATAAACTTATTCACCAACAGTGAATTTATATTATTAAATACACAAACATAAAATATGATGGAATTTTAGAAAAGATGAAGCTCAGTAAATCACTTCTCTAATAGTGTAATCCTGAGAAAGTTTTCCTAATTGATATTTTTATTTATAGAACTTGTTATGAAAACCCTGGGACAGGTGATGTACCAGTACTCTTTTGGTAAATATATATGCTCCTGTTTTCCTTTTGCTGTACTGAATGAAAATCAGAATACCTAAATTCATTCATTCATTATGCCATGGTGTCTTGAAAAACTAAAAATGTTTCTTAAGGGTAAAGAAAACATAAATTATTCAGGGTTTTCACAATTAAAACTCGGTTACAATGTTTGGATTGTAAACGTTATACAATTTTTTTTCAGTGACTTAAGCTTTCCAAATTCTTTTATAACCATTATTGTTTCTCAACAATGCCTTGTATTAACAGATAAACTTCTCATGTTCCTTTTTCCAAAATTTATGTTCATCCTTGTAGCAAGCTAGTAGTGCCCTGTCATTTTAGTGCACACAGGCCTGATTTTCCTTAAGACAGGGGATGCTCCACCGAGAGTGTTAATTCCCTAGTATCTTTAGCCTGTGTAAGGGCTGAGCAAACTCCAGCCGCTTTAAAGTCCTCAGAAAAAGACTGCAGCGCTGGCGATTGAAGACTGGCGAGCATGTATTGAATTAAGCCCCTAGGAATAGGTCTGAATCAAAGGCTAAGGGAATTGGTATATACATATACCTCAGCTTTTTCATACGTCATGGGATAGTTCTGAGGTGTTTTAAACTGTTTCCCAGGAAATCCCAGTGAGATCAAGCTCTGTGTATTTTCAGGGATGACTTGCTTGGCAATTCACCTTTTCCTTCCTTCTGTCTCTCCTGTCTTACTTCCCAGAGTCCCTGCTGTGTTTTTCGATATCGCTTTCAAAATATACTACCTGCACTTGAATCCCTAACTCAAGGTCTACTTCCAGTGGGACATAAATTGAGAAAATACTTTCCCAAAGCATCACCATTTACATTCCTTAGTAACAGGATTGTTGGTAGAACAGGCTAGAGTATAGACACAAATGAATGGGTTTAGGAAAAGCTGTGGATACCAACTCTCTGTGCTTTCTTTTGGAAGCCAATCATTATTACAGAAAACAGGTTATCTTACATATATGTTACCCAGCCTGAAATAGGAAAAGAACCATTAAAAAATCAATAAAGATTGGTAATTTTGTTCTTCATATTAGATTTTCTATCATAGTTGTTTTTAAAAATAGTTGTGAAATAATTACTAATGAAAAGCACACAATTGTGTCTTAAGGCGTTAGAGCATATTAAGTCAGCAGTGCTTAATTGCTTGGTTAATTAAAAAAAATTTTATTTATTCTTAGAGACTTAAAGGTGAAATGCTACTATTGGATGGAAAAGTTTATTCAAAAAACAACTTATTTTTAACATAAAATATATAACATTATAATAAATAGAACTGGTACAGTTTTTATTTATGCAGTTTATTGGTTGATACAAAATGCAGAAACAGGTAAAATGTCTAATTTATGTCTATTTAATCAGAATTGTAGGGGTATATACAATAAGAATAATATAATGTATAATGTAACAACAACAATAAAATACACTAAGAAACAGGGACTTAATTACAATGTACTCTATGACAGGTTTCATTGACCAAATCAGTGTAACTGACTAACTAGGTGTTGGATAGTCTCTGCTGTTCCTGGTATACTATAGCTAGGCAACTACTGAGCATTCAATTCACGTTAGAAAATCCTATCTTCTGCTCTGGGATCCTTGTGGTGATAGGCAGCATTTAAGTATTAAGTCCAAAGAAAGAAATAAGAGAAGGGTCAAGTAGGTAACACAATAAATAAACAGTGTGATTATACCTCAATAAGCGTGTATCTATAAGGCAATTCAACTTAGTTCATTTTCAATTTTACTTAAACATGGAAATGAAAATTATTTTCTAAACAATTTTAGAGGTATTTTTAGAAATTTGTTACACTCAGGCTTTCATCTCTAAGTTCAGTCTTTCCCCTCTTCCAGACTACGTTTTTCTGGATGCTTCGCCCAAGCTTAATGTTACACAGCTTTGTCTCCAGTCTTCTACTGTTTTAAAACAATCTACAGCCAAACACCAGCCCTCTTCTGATTTTTCATTTAAAAGTATCCTTACATATTTTTTGTGCACTTCATCGAGCACTTTGATTGCACAATATCTGGCATCGGTCTTTTATTATCTTGACTACCACATACTTACTCCAAACACTGTTTTTTTTTTTTTT